GGCGTGCGTGAGAGGAACTCGGCAGGCAGGCTGTCCTCAGCCCTCCCTCCACGGTCATGGTCACGGTCACTTGAGAGGAAATGAAGAGGGGAGGAGGCCAGGGACAGACGGACGCCACCCACAAAGTGCACTGGGGACAGGAGATGCAAGCAGTGTAATTAAGGCCTCCAGACACCCGTCGTGAGCTCGCCCATCACACCCCTGGCAGGTAGTTCACACCTCTGAGGAAGAACCAGCAACGCCGAAAAAGGCTTAGAAGAAAAGCTCTCCATCTGGAGCCTGCAGCCCAGCCTGCAACTGCTGGCCCGGCCTGTCTGAGGCAGCGCTTCAGCTGGCAGCTGACACCCCTGACCCTTGGGGACAGTTCCAGGGGGGTGGGGCTCTAAAGTGAGAGGGACCTGGCTGTGCTGCAGAGCTGTGTGACCCTGGGCAAACTCCTTAGCCTCTCTGGGCCTCACACGCCCCATCTTTATCAGGATTCCACAGAGTAAGGCTTTGCCCAGTGGATCCATGTGCTCAGCAAACATTTACTGAGCACTTGTGGACACGGCAGCAAGCCAGGCAGTCTGCGGGTGGAGGGGTGAGGTATGTTAGACCGCCACACGACAGCGCTCCAAGGGTAGTGGTGGGGAGGGCTGGGTGGGCTGTAATGAGCGCTGCAAGGGAACACGACAAGCCACCCTGGCTGGGGTCGGGAGGGAGCCAGTAGGAGGGCGAACCGAAGACCTTACTTTAAAGAGCAGTAATTCAGTGCTCCCGAAGTGCCTGACACCCAAAGGAAGTACAGTGGCAGCGCCGCTCACCGGGTGCTTCTCGTGAGCTGGCCACCGCGCTAGGTGTCCCACGTGCAATGAGCTGTCTCCACCACCCAGCCGTCCAGCAGGTTCTTCGCAGCCCCATTTTATAGACGAGGAAAAGTGAGGCTCAGAGAGGGACGTGACACGGCCCAGGAGAAGGGGGAACCATTTCAAACCCATAAAGTCTATTGCCAGAACCGACCCTTCGCCATAACTCCACCTGGCCCAGACGTGAGAGGACAGGTCTGTCTGGGACCTGCTCCTTGGCAGCGCTGCACAGAGGTAACTGGTGATGATGACAACAGACAAGCTTCTGTGAGATGCCTGCCTCCTATCAGTCTGTACATCCATCCTCTCACTGAGCCTCTCAGTGCCGGGTGGGGGTGCGGGGAGCAGGCATGACCTCTAACCCCACCCTGCAGATGAGGAAACTGAGGCCGGTCAATTGCCAAACTACACTCCAGCTCCCAGCCTCCTCGTCTTCCCGCGGCTTTGCAGGCAGGGCTGGACATAAATTGCAGGGCTCGAGAGAAAATGAACATTTAGGGCCCCATGTTCCAAAAATTTAGGATTTTTAAGACAGTGACATTACAGCATTAAACCAGACGTGGGGGCTTGTGGGACCACACAGGTCACGTGCTCACGAGGCCGGCCCTGCTGGCAGAACCTCCTTCTGGGAAGATCACTGCCTTCTAGGAACGTTGGTTGGAGCCGCCTGCGCTCTGGGGAGGGCTGCGGCGTGGGGGTGCTGGGAAGCAGGGACCTATCTACTCAGGGGAAGAAGACGCAACAAAAAGAAACGCCACAGAGACCTTCCGTTCGGCGCTGCCGCTAAAGACACAGGCCCTGCTGAGCGTCGGACCCTGGCGAAGCCTGGCACCCGCGTCTCGGTGCTGCCTAATACCCAGGGCTAACGCTTGTCAACCACCTGCTCTGTGCCAGGCACTGTATTAAGTGCTTCGCATGCATCATCTCATTTAATCCTTTCAATAGCCTTTGAAGCAGCCACGTGGTGAGGGAGCCGTCGGATGACCCAGGGGAACCTGGGCCCTGGAGTTGGTCTGTCCACTGGGAAACGGAGATGTGTGACCTGCCCCGCAGGGCTGTTCCGCTAAACGAATGCCTCCTAATGAGCGGTGGCTCATCACGCGGTGCTCGGCACAGACGTCGGGCACGAAAACCTTGCTTAATGATAATCATAAACATTACAAATTTATTCCTATATCATCACGTCACAACACACAACATCGTTAGTATTTTATGCCAAGGGACGCTGAGGCCCAGAAAGGGGGTGGCAGAGGGAGGAGAACTGCTCCCCCCTAACCTGCCGCTGTGTCTGCTAGAAGAACTGCTCCCCCCTAACCTGCCGCTGTGTCTGCTCTCTGACTTTTCTGAAGGGTAGGCAGGCCTCAGACTGTCCCAGACGACGACACAGCAGGGACGTGCTGGTGGCTCGCAGTAAAGACCCAGGCAAACGCTGCCTGGCGGGCAAGCTGCCACCCCAGCTCACGTGCAGGCCCCAGTGGTGGTCTTGACAACCTGACCATGCTCTCCCGCGCCCTGCACACGCACCTGGCTGTGCCACTGCCTGACGGTCACTGCTGCTTTCCTCCCTGGTCCCCCCCAGAGGCGGAGTCCACGAGAGAGCGGCCCGTCTCTCCTCGAACGGCTGCATGCTCGGCACCTTGCACAGTACCTGGTACAAAGGACGCGTGCGGGGTCCACTAAAATGATCTGGGAAACGGCCGTGCCTTGGAGACACGGGAGCAGGACCATGGGCTGCAGGGAGGAGTGGTTCCGAGCCAGGGCTCTGGGTCCGACATAGAAATTCAAACCCGGGCTCAGCCGTGTGGTCCCGGCAGGACCTTCACCTGCTCAGGTGCCCAGTTTCCTTTTGGTGCAAAGGAATAATGGCATCCCTCCAGCCCCTCTTCACAGGGCTGCTATGCGGCTTTAGAAAAGATACTGCACAGAAAGGCACACAGCGCAGAGCCCAGCACACGGAGCTGTGATTTCGAGAACACCTGGTAGATCAAGTCCGCAGAACCTGCCTGGCAAAATGGTCCGTCCCCTCAAACCCTGAAACCTCCCCCTGGCTCTGGCCTTTGCTGGCCACCGGCTTTGTCTGCAATCAGGTCTGTGGTTTCCTGGACAAGCTCGGCTCCCTGAGAAGGTTCACAGCGACCCCTGCTGGCCGCCGCTCAGACCTGCCTCAGACCCCAGTCTGTGCGCACAACAAAGCAAGCTGAGCCCTCCCGGGAGCCTTTCCCTCTCTGGGGAGCTGATGAAAAATCCCTGCAGAACGACGGCGGGGAGAGGAGGCACTGCGCGTAATTACACTTGGTGGACACTAATTCCCCTGTCTTCTCAAAATAAACATAACGCGCGAGATCAAACAAAGTGCCTTCCCTTTCCGTGGCGGTCTTTTGTTCCCTGGATCAGTGTCATCCTACACGGACTGCGGAACCAGGCGAGCCTGTCGTTTCGGTGGGGTCCGACTTCCCAATCAACATGCGCTGTTTGCGGCAATCCCATTCCGATCTGCCAGGTCTTAAAACGGGCTCTTTCTAAAGAGCAGAGGCACATGAAAGCTAGCGGACGTGTGGGCTATGGATGTAACCACAACCTCACTCACAGGCTCCTGACTGATCGCCAGCTGCAGAGGGATGGAATCCCCCCCTTCCTCCCCCCAAGCTGTCACCCCATCTCACCTGGCTGTCCCCATCCAGGGGACCCGGTTCACGGCTAAGACCCTGCTACTCAGACCCTGGCGGGGTGGGCGCCTTTGCACCAACCCCAGCTAACCACGTCCAGTAAAAAATTATACGCCAGCACCCAGTTTAGAACGGGGATGGGGGACAGGAATTTTTGAAGCAAATCCTCCAAATGGCTCCCCATGCTTTTAATTGCCAAGTGAGAGCAAAGAGGTAGATTTCACACAAAGACATTTCTCTCTAGTCTCCAAGATACGGGGCTTTTGCTTCCACAGTCGACCTTGCGAGATACTAACTGGTAAATCCAATACGAACTCAGCCCTCCTGATGTTCAGGCTAGAACTCGACAAACACAGGTTATGTGAACGAGGTCGAGTATGTAGAATCCTTCACGTCCACCCATGCGGTTCCCAGAGCACTCAGATCGCGGCCTGCCCTGGACGAGCCGCTCGGTTGGGGTGGTATCATCTGCCGTTACGTCGTGCGGGCTGGATGGCCTGTCTCTGGGCCACCCAGCATGTGCCCGGGGACTGTCTTGGCTTTACACATTTCCCCCTTATGCGCTTTCGCAAAGACTTCGCATCTAGGGCTCGGTGCTGGGTGACACTCAGCTACCCTGAAAAACCAAACTCTGTGATATGCCAGCACAGGGGTTGCAAACTGGTGGCCTCTGGGCTGTATCTGGTCCACAGAAAGACTTTGTCCTGTAGTGCTTGATTTTAGAAGGCAAATTAATTGCCAACTCATTCCCCCTAAGGATTCAGATTGTCATTTTCTCTTTCAAAC